CTGCTGAGATGTGTGAGATCATAGTATGGACATGATTTGCACAAGCAGACGATGTCCCATGACATCTCACACATTTTCAGTGCCTGTGTTTTCATCTTCTCTTGAGTTCTTTCTCTTACTTCACTACCGTCAGGCTATATGTATAATCTATTGCCTTACTCTAAACCCCGCGCATGGTTTTATTTTGATGACAAGTGCAGCGATACAAAAATAAAGGAATCTGTCGCTTGAAAACAAAATAAGACGCCATTGAATATTCAGCTGCACACACCGCGGTATGTTCGGCGTTTTAACAGGGAACGAATGCCGTCCTTAATATCACTCCGGGGGGTTTTCAATTTGAAAGTCTGGTTTCTTTGATTGTTAATTAACCCCTATCCTGTGTATTTACAAGCAAAAGATTTAGGTTATCAGAATTGGGTCATATCCCCTTTTGAATGGTTTGACATGCCATTACATTTATATACACTAAACTCATTATAATTTGAGAAATAATAGCTTTGCAATTATGTACATTCTTTATGGGATGTCGTCTGCTTGGGCAGTATTGGTCCATATAGTGACGTCATTAAAACATTGTTATTTTTCCGTCGAATCTCTCGTATATCCCAGCTGCTATGGAGGTGGTTGTATTTGTATTTTTTATGAATCACCCGATATGTAGTTGACCTAAAACTTGCGCGATGGCCATCTGTTAGCTTACCAGTTTCTAGTGATACATTAATTGACATATTTGTGATTTTCTTTGAATTTCACCTTTAACAAGCTTATACAAATTAATATAAGTATTACAGTAAAACATCATCGTTATTAAATATTTATGCAATCATTTTTAACATCAATCGTATTTTACATTACATCAAGATCGTGAACGTAATAAAGTATGAGACAGAAAACATTACGCAACTAATAAAGCAAAGTTGATACAAAGAGTCAGATGACTATGTCAACAAATTTTGAATTAATTGCCAATTCACGGGCTCATAACAGTGATATATCACTCTGCAGATTTATGCACGGAAATATCATATATGTACATCGAATTCAAGGGAATTTAAGAGGAGTATTCGGCAAGGAATCATTGCCGACTTATGAACTAAAATGTTATTAAAAACAGTGGGATATGATAGCGAGCATATAACCTTTACAGCATTAAAGACTTGGTCAGAAATAGCTGTTTTTTTACCGTGTGAACCACGAATGGCTACTGCGCGCAACAAAGGATTTGCGCGTATTCACTGAGCTCTGTGAATGTTATAAAGTATAAAAATGTTACGTCATCATAAATACCGCCGCGTTTTTGCCGCGTCATGTCTGAACGACCCTTAAAGGTATAGACCAGTTTTGGAAACACCCCCCTCTCAAAAAAAATGAAATGGAAGCTTTTATTACCAATCTTGTGAAAGAATTTGTTTTGACTAATACGTGATGATACAAATTATGCCGGGAAACCGCCTACTAATTGATATATTTGGTAAATTATATATTCATCTGGACTGTATAGATATCGCGTAGTCCCATATACATCTTTCTGTGTACAGTGCTTGTAACTTTACCAAGACTGGGCCAAATTTCTTATCATTTTGATGATTCCAGAACCTTGCAGTACACACCAATACTTATATGCTTGATGATCAATCTTTTCTGATCGATTCCACAACATTTCTTTCACAATCCACTAGAACTGTTCTATACCTTTAAATCACATACATGAATATACTTACATGTATGCAATGGTGCGTTACTCTAAAAAAAAGTATGTCCTGGTTATACGCACAACAGTTTACAGAAATTCAAGATACCATTGTACAGAATTATGGACAATTTTCCAATTAAAAAAAAGCCTACATGATCTCGGATAATACATTTACAAAAGAAAAAGTGCAGAATCTTTCAGAAGAAAGCAAATCCGGAGAGATCGAAACTTGACTACAGAAATGCATCGAGATATGATGTATTTTAAGAGGTGGATATGGAATGGAACGAAGAATACTTGAAGCTACTTCACAATGGAAATACTTTTGTCTGTGCAATTGTACATTTAGAATCAATCAAATAAAAGTACAGCATTAATAAATGATGGAATTGTGCAGAGCTCTGGACCAAAATGTTGGACATGATATAATGGTAACAGTATGAACAAACGGCAGACTTATGCACAGAAATCCAAACTCGGTATGAAATTACATGAAATAAATATGCATTGGATATTAACCATTGAAATGCGCAGAATTATGCACAAAAATCCAATTTTAGTACGATTTTACATGAAATATATACGCAATTGATTTAACCCTTACAATTTGTACACTTATGCACACAAATCCAATCTCATTAGTGCAGTTTGACATCATGTAAAATATATATGCGGTGAACATTAACCATTATAATCTATAGAATTATGCACAAAAATCAAATCTCAGTACATCATATGTTGTAAATATAGGCAATGGACATTCATTATTATAATGGGCAGACTTATGCACAGAAATCCAATCTTGGTATGTTATTACATGTTATATAAAGGCCGTTGACATTCAACATAGTGATGTGCAGACTTATGCACGAACAAATCTTAATGCAACATCGTGATACGATTTCATACGGAATTTATAAACCCTGGCCATTCACCATGGTAATAATGCAGACTTATGCACACAAATCCTATGTTAATATGATATCATATTGAATATAATATGCAATGGAAATTCACCATTATAATGTGAAGATTTATGCACAAAAATCCAATCTCAGTATAATACAAAATATATATGCAATGAATGCTTTGATGCGCAGACTTATGCACAAAAATCAAATCTTAGTATGGAATTTCATTGAATATATATGCAATGGTAATTCACCATTATAATGTGAAGATTTATGCCCAAAAAGTCAATCTCAGTATAATATAAAATATATATGCAATGAATGCTTTGATGTGCAGACTTTTGCACTTAATATCCAATCTTAGTTTGAAATTACATGAAATTTTATATGCAATTGACATTCGTCATTGTAATAGGTAGACTTATACACGAAATTAATATCCAATCTCAGTTTCATATCATATTAAATATATATGCAATGGACATTCACCATTATAATGTGCAGACCTATGCACACCAATCCAAACTCGGTAGGTTATTACATAAAATATATATGCATTGGATATTAACCATTATGATATGCAGACTTATGCACAAAAATCCAAACTCAATAGCTATTACATGAAATATATACGCCTTTGATTTAACCCATTACAATGTGTAAACTTACGCACACTAATCCAATATCAGTTTGACGTCATGTAAAATATATATGCGATGGACATTCACCATTTTAATGTGCATACTTATGCACAAAATTTCAAGCTCAGTATCCTATTACATGTAATATATATGTATTTGATATTCACCATTATGATCTTAAATCTAAAATCAACATCGGGATATGGTTTCATACGAAATGTATGTACCTTTGCCATTCACCATTATAACTCAGTATGGTACACGTGTTATATATATATATATATATATATATATAATGGACTTTCCACCATTATAATGTGAAAACTTATGCACAAAAACAAAATCTCAGTATGATATTACAATGCAGTTATATGCATTAGACATTAACCATTATAATGTGCAGACTTATACACGAGAATCCAATCTCAAAATGATATCATATGAAACAAATATGCAATGGACATTCACAATTATAATGTGCAGACCTATGCACACAAATCCAAACTCGGTATGAAATTACATAGAATATATTTGCAATGGAAATGACCATTGAAATGTGCAGACTCTTGCACATAAATCCAATCTCAGTATGTTATTACATGAAATATATATGCATTAGATATCAACCATTATAATATGAAGATTTATGAACGAAAATCAAATGTCAGTATATCATTTAAAATGTATATACAATAGCGACACACATCAAAATGTGCGAGCGCTTCGACTTGGTTTCGAATCTTGGACCTCCTGTTAACGGGACCATTGCTCTACTAGTGAGCCATTGCATACTACATCTACAAACAAAATGGAGATTCAACTTTAATGACATTCTTTGCATGGTCCAAATTGTTTTACCGTGTTTGTGGTCGTGGGACATAATGTTTAATATTTTGCAAAAAATGACATCGGTTTGCGGGTTTTTTTTGGCCAGCAACGTTGTCATGTGGGGTTAATATGCAATTGAATAATGACCAGCACATGACTGAACCACCAGTGATCGACGCAACATTTTAGTTATTCTCTTCATATAAAGTTCCTTATGTATTTTATGCGGACTGCAATGGCGGAAGACGACGTTGCACACAGGCTCAGAGAATGATGATTAGAAGATGGCATTAGTCCCTTTGAAAGTAGGCAAATATTTATATTACACATAAAACTTTGAAGGTATTCCCAGGTTATTCGTTAGTTTTAAAGACAATGATATATAATTTAATAACAAATTTGCGAAATACATTCACTAATTGGTGCTAGGTAACACAAACATTATGGCTTGTCCTATCTAACAAAACGGAATGTGTGCAATTCGTATTCTGACTATTGAAATACAATTTGGTGAATGAATAAATTTGTAACGAAGTACTTAGCAAAGATTTGTACATAAACTTTAATTACATTACGAAAACGATCTATAACAATTATTTTTTTTTTTTTAAAGGGGAAAAATAGGGAAACAAATGGGACTCGCATATAAACGAATAGAAAAGAATAATATTACATGGGCAAATTTTCCATTCTGAAGGCTACTTCTACCATTAAAAACAAATAAAGAGAGGTAATTAGTATGCATGGTACAACATTAAAGGCGCACTGTCCTACTTGTAGCTACTTGCTCCCTCTATATAGAAAATTTCCCCAATCGGTGCCTGTTGGTCCCCCGTGATCCTCTTTTTCTTATGTTAAATGAGAGCTGAGTTAATGAGATAGCCACCTGTCACAGTGACCTCGCTGGCTCGCTGGGTGGTCTAATCCCTTCTAGCTGAAGTAGTAAAGCCTGCCTTTAAAGCTTACATATATCCACATTTTAACTATTTATTTGTCTATTTTCCTAGTTCATACTAACTTTGCCATATCGTCGTTCAGGAGGTCGTCTACCAGACGTTGGTGTCTAATCGCAATCAGGGCTTTCTTCAATTGTTCCCGTTCTTCGGACCTTTTAGTCCTGTTCCTCCAATCTCGGAGCATAACAAGTGTTCCCCTGCATGTAACATCGTGGTATTTGTCGTTTATTTGTATGTAACGTTGGATTTCCGGAGGTTGAAAGCCCAATTCTCCGCCTAGACTGTCGATGTCATCATACTTATGAATCCGCTTAGGTATTGTCTTAGTTGGGAAGGTCGTCAAATTCCTGCTTCCTGGGTTCTTCACTAGGTCTATATTTACATGGAGGAAATATAAAATGTTACTTATTATCTAATAATCTCAGTTGACCGTTTTTTTTTTTTACTGGTTTGAATTTTATTGTTCCACATATGCATGTACATCAAAAACAAAAGAGATTAATTCGAGCTGAAGATTATGTTACAAAACAATACGGGTATAAAACATAAATAAACTAGTTTGGAAACGTCGCAATTAAAAATAAAGTTGTGAGGGAGTTTGCACTAGATATTATCGGGAACGGAAGTACATATAGGGTAGGTGTGGGGAATTGGAGACGCTTAAGCACATTTGCATAATTTACATGAACATGAAAAATGTTACACATACAGAAAGTTTTATATTCTCTTCAGTAAGTTCTTCTCTTTATTTGTTAACACAATTGTGGTCATGATATAACTGATTAATAAGATAACGGTGATTAATGACGTCATCACCAAAGGTCTCTCATTACCTACATGTGTAGGTAATAAGGGACAGTTACAAATCAAGACTGTTTTTCGCTCCCTTCTCCAGGCGAATTCGGGCTCTGTATCTGGATTCGCATGCTACGTTAACCCAAGGTCAAGGGCATGTCAAGTTTGGGCGCGCGCTTTTTTTAATATGCTTTGTAGGCATTGCATAGGCAGGAGTACTGTATAATGAAGGAGATAGACAGCAGATAACGATCAACTAACGAAATATGCTGTAGCAAATAAATGATGCAACGGGTTAGGCCTACCATGGCCCTACCCCGTGTTAGGCATCTTGCTATATGATATGCTTTGTAGGCACTGCACAGGCAGGCGGCATGCATTTATGCAGGTCAGGCGCCCACTGCGTGTACGTGTATGCGATATGCGTTAAAATAAGAAGAAGTGAAAGAATGAAAGAACACAAACAAGAGAAATAAAATAAAAATTGAAAAATAGAAGGAGAAAAAAGAACCCCCAAAATAATCCCAAAATAGAAAAAAAAATATTATAAAATATATCTAACATATATTAATGTATATCACCCCAAAACGAGTAATATTTGACTATGAAACCGTTTGTTTCAAATGACCATGTGAATAGGATGTTTCCTCACCTTGAGAATATCATCTGGCGGATGATTTCATCCTTGGCATAGTGAACTGGTAGGTTGCCATGGTTATCCTTGATGTCCGGTTTTGCTCCGTGGTCCAAGAGATAGAACACCAGGGCCTTCATGGGAGACAATTCGTTCTGATAGAAGTCTTCTGAGATCTAAAAGAATTATCAATAGAATCGATTGTTTAAACCTTGAGAGGCCTTTGTGTTTCAGAAGATTTATCCCCAGATTCATAATTCTGAACATTTGTTGTGTTTTTCTGATGGTTCGTTTATGTTTATAATTCCAAAAGTTAAATAGGTATCATTACTCCAAAGGTTTGTTAATCCGAAAATTGAATAAGGTTCGTTATTCCAAAGGGTTAGTAATTCCAAAAAGTGATACAGAATTTTCGTCATTTTTGGAAATATGAAGTCAATTTTATTTTCAGACTTACAAACCCTCTTTAGGTTTCAGAATTATATGAATCCTATTTCATTTTTTAGAAATAAGACGTCTTTTTGTAATGTTATAGAGACTTATTCATTGTTAAATGGCTATGCTAAGTTATGTGTGAATGGTATGATTCCAATTGCATAATTGTAAGTAACCAACTCGGTTAGTGTAGGAAATTAAACAGAGCAATTGTCGCAGGATGAAGCGTCGTACAATCCCAGGGACAGTGTGTTCTAGAGTTCATCATCTTACCCTTTGGAGTGCTGGTGTTGCTTCAACTTTGCTGTCCTCCCGACCAGAAAGTCTGATGGCTTCGTGAAGACAGGTCTGTCCGTCGATGGACTGGATGTTGAGATCGGCGCCATGAGAAACTAATGTCTCGATGATGGAGGTGTAGCCATTTTGCGTTGCTAAATACACTGCTGTGTAGCCTTTCTCACCAAGTTGCCCAATAACCTGTGTAAAAAACAGCCTTAAGAATTCAGAATCTACAAACAAAACGGCTTTCAAAAAACAAAAAACGAGGCTTTATTGGGCATATAAGCAGTCTCTTTTCGAGTTTCCAATATGTTTAATCACCATATAGACTTACATATACACAGATTTTAACATTTCAGCAATCATTATACAGTAAAACCTGGCTATTAAGGTCACCCATGGGAGACCAAAAAAATGTGGTCATTGTAGACAGGTGGGCTTTCTTGACCGTTTCTCAAACACACATTTTTCTTTCGAGGGAAGCAAAATACATGGTCCCGAAACACAATTAGGTGGCTTTATATTAAGAGAGGTGGCCACTAAGACGGGTTTGACCTATATGTATATGTACAGTTCGGCTTTAAGTTTCATTTGGAATGATTTCAACCCTTTTCATAACTTAGACATCTACATACCTTCACGAAAACGTTTTTTAAAAGATTATTGAGGTATAAGAAGCTGGCTAACCCTTTCAATTTATATTGGTGAGATTTTGATACTTGCGAGCATGTTCATAAACAGTATGATATTTTTTCATGTGAAATCTATAGGAATACCCAATTAAATACCTTCTTCTCATCTTCTGTTAAACCCTGAGTGTATGCATGTCCTTTCGGGGAAGAAGGATGTTTCTGTCCTTCAGCACACCGCGTATCTGGACTTGTCCCATGCACTTGGTCTTGTTTCGCAGCGAGTTGCAACGCAGTCTTCCCAGGTTTACACAGATTTACGTCAGCTCCGTGCTCCGATAGATATCTTGTGACATCGGTATGTCCATTTGCAGCAGACAAATGCAATGCAGATGATCCCTTCTTGGTAACCTTGCTTACATCTGCAAGTTGCTGAAGTAGACACTTCATGACATCGATGTGACCATTCTGAGCAGCAATGTGCAAGGGAGTCCAACCGCCATTGTCTGTCGCATCAATTTCGGCTCCGTGGTTGAGCAAGCCTTTCGTGATATCGAGATGACCATTCTGCACTCCGACATGAAGGGCTGTATAACCTTTCTCCTTGGTGGCTCCGTTGACCTCTGCTCCTCGCCTAAGCAAATGCTCGGTAACGTCACAGTGGCCAATAAATGCAGCAACATGCAAAGGGGAGATACCATCAACATCCCCTTTAGCTACTTCAGCTCCTTGTCCAAGTAGATAATCTACAATATCAAGATGACCCTTTTGCGCAGCAAAGTGAAGAGCAGTCCAGCCAACATTGTTGCTTTCGTTCACATCAGCTCCATGACTGATCAGATACCGAACACCTGCAAGAAAGCCACCTTCTATAGCATATTGTAATGATGTACGACCAACTGTTCTGCCTCCTTGACTTTCAAGAAGATTTTGAATGTCAAGATCAGACGATCTTAGTGGCATATACACAAAAACCATTCCACCTTGAACTGTCTTATCCTCTTCGCCATCTTGATATTTGCTTCTACCAAGATCACTTTCTAGGGCACCTCTAAAGACAGTGAGAGAATCAACGAGTCTGCTAACTGCATGACGTAGGCTACTCTTCACAAATCGCCCAACATCATAGTGACCATACTGTCCATCAAATTGTACGATGACAGAGTCACGAACACTTCTCTTATTCAGTTCAGAGCCTTGACTGAGCAGATACTTCGTAATGTCGATCTCACCGGCAAATAAAGCATAATGGAGAGCAGTAATTCCATCTGCGTCGCAATTTTCTGCCTCAACTCCATGACCGATTAGGAATTCGACGATATCTAAATGGCCAGACTCTGATGCAAAATGTAGGGCAGTCACTCCAAAGTCATTTCCTTTATTCATATCGGCCCCTTCACTGATCAGATATTCCATGACATCCAACTTCCCTTTTGTTGCAGCATTATGCAAGGCACACCTACCAAAGGCATTGCTAGAATTCACATCAGCTCCTTGACTTAGCAAATATTTTGTCATATCAAGATGGCCATTACTTGCTGCAATATGTAAGGCTGTCCAACCAAAAGAACCAGCTTCATCCAGCTCGGCTCCTTGACTGACTTGATCTTTCATGGCATCAAGATCGCCTCTCTCTGCAGCGGAATGAATCTCCGTCCAATAAATTATATTTGCTTTTGCCAGCTCAGCTTGCTGACTAAGCAAAGCACTTGAAACACGTACGTAACCAGCAGCTGCGGCAAGGTATAAGGCTGACCATCCGTTGTCACTAACCTTATCAACATCAGCTCCTAGCCTGATCAGGTACCTGGTGACATCAAGATGACCATTCTTTGCAGCTATATGTAAAGGAGTTAAACCTTCCTTTCCGCTGTTATTCACCTCGGCTCCTTGACTAATGAGATATTTGGTGACGTCAGGATGACCATTGTGTGCTGCCAAATGTAAAGGATCCAACCGTCCTTTTCAACTTTATTCACCTCAGCATTTTGACTGATTAATTCTTTGACGATATCAAGATGTCCGTTTAAAGCAGCTAAATGTAATGCAGTCCGACCATCAATTTTGCCTTTATTGACTTCAGCTCCTTGACCGATGAGATATTTGGTGACATCAGGATGACCATTCTGAGCAGCTAGATGTAATGGGGTCTTACCAATATTATCACCTTTATTAATCTCAGCTCCTTGTCTAATGAGATATTTGGTGACGGCAAGATGATCATTCTGTGCAGCTAGATGTAATGCAGTCCAACCGTCATTTTGAACTTTATTCACCTCAGCATCTTGACTGATCAATTCTTTGACGACTTCAAAATGACCAATCTCTGAAGCCAGATGTAATGCAGTCCAACCGTCATTTTCGACTTTATTCACCTCAGCACCTTGACTGCTGAGATATTTGGTGACGTCAGGATGACCATTCTGTGAAGCTAGATGTAATGCAGTACAACCGTCATTTTGAACTTTATTCACCTCAGCATCTTGACTGATTAATTCTTTGACGATATCAAGATGTCCGTTTAAAGCAGCTAAATGTAATGCAGTCCGACCATCAATTTTGCCTTTATTGACTTCAGCTCCTTGACCGATGAGATATTTGGTGACATCAGGATGACCATTCTGAGCAGCTACATGTAATGGGGTCCTACCAATATTATCACCTTTATTCACCCCAGCTCCTTGACTGATTAATTCTCTGACGACATCGAGATGACCATTCTGTGAAGCTTGATGTAATGCAGTCCGACCAGCAATGTTACCTTTATTAACTTCAGCTCCTTGACCGATGAGATATTTGGTGACATCAGGATGACCATTCTGTGCTGCCAAATGTAAAGGGATCCAACCGTCCTTTTCAACTTTATTCACCTCAGCACCTTGACTGATCAGATATTTGGTGACATCGGGATGGCCATTCTGTGAAGCAAGATGTAATGCAGTCCAACCGTCATTTTGAACTTTATTCACCTCAGCTCCTTGACTGATGAGATATCTGGTGACATCAGGATGACCATTCTGTGAAGCTAGATGTAACGCAGTCCAACCATCGTGTTCAACTTTATTCACCTCAGCATCTTGACTGATCAATTCTTTGACGACTTCAAAATGACCAATCTGTGAAACCAGATGTAATGCAGTCCAACCGTCATTTTCGACTTTATTCACCTCAGCACCTTGACTGCAGAGATATTTGGTGACGTCAGGATGACCATTCTGTGAAGCTAGATGTAATGCAGTCCAACCGTCATTTTTAACTTTATTCACCTCGGCTCCTTGACTGATCAATTCTTTGACGACATCTAGATGTCCGTTTATAGCAGCTGAATGTAATGCAGTCAAACCATCAATTTTGCCTTTATTGACTTCAGCTCCTTGACTGATCAGATATTTTGTTATCTCACGATGACCTTTCTGTGCAGCTAGATTTAATGGGGTCAAATCGTCATTTCCGCTGTTATTCACATCGGCTCCTCTACCGATCAATTTTTGGATCAGGTCAAGTTTTCCATTCTGCACAGCACTGCTTAGTGCACTCTGCGAATCATCAACACTGCCATCTTGTTCATTTCCCTCCTTACTGTCTTTGTGGATCGGACGACTGACCCCCATTTTGGAAATCTCCTTCCCCATTCTTAGTGAATGCTGGGATCTCTCTGCTAGCTCTTGAAGTATTGTACAAGTTCATGAATTTATAAAAATCTTTTAAGGCTGTTTTTTTTTATTTTTCCTACATGATGTATGTTCTCATTTCTGCCACATTCCTAGTGAAAGCTGGAAGTTGACATCGGTTTATCACCAAAACACCTAGATAAAATGAACATGTTCAAATTTTTGCAAGATTGGTCAGTGGTGAGGTACTTTTTAATTCGGATGAAAATGGCATATCTTGAAGTATCTAAGTCCAACAAAAGGTACGGGTTTAGCCAGGCACGATTGATCTACGGCCACAAAAAGATGGCCATTTTCAGAACTTTTTATTCAATTTATTTCTTCACACATGCCAAACTTAGGAAAATACATATTATTATAAAATACATACATACAATACAATAATAGTACATGCAGAGTATATATAAAGCGACTCCATATGGAATAATGTGTGTTTTAAAAAGAAAAATCAGCTAATGTAGAAGGGGTAGTCAAAAATCATGAATGATTTGTCGAGGACTAACCCAGTGGCGAAACGGGCGCGGCCCCCCTATTGGCGGCGCAAAAAAAAAGAGGAAGATAAGAAGAGACAAAAGAAAGGAAAAGAGGAAAAAGGAGCAGGGAAAAGAATGGAGAAGAGAAAAGAAAAGAAAAGAAAAGAGAAGAAAAAAAGAGAAAGAAAGAGAAAAGAAGAGAGAAGCCGGGTTAGAAAGGGAGAAAGTTTCAGGGAAATGGCCCTAAGTGACAGTAACAACGAATAAGGGAAAAACTGGGGGGGGGGGGGGTTGCGCGTGTGAAATGCGCGCGCATGGAGGGGGTATGACTGACCGTATTACATTTTTTAGGTTGCGCAAAATTGAGTCGAAATTCAGCTTATTAAAACAATTACTAAGCATGCTTGTTCATGTTAAGCCGTAGCGCCTGAAAAGGATATTGTGAAATCATTTCCTTCCAAAAAGTGTTAAAATGGTCAATTTCGGGGTCGTTTCCGGAGGCTTGTGAGCCGTTATTGAAGAGGGTGCCGGTCATACGTATGATAGTGATGTTAACGATGAGTAAGGGAATAAGGAGTGAGATATGAACTGCAAGCGTATTGGAGATGATCATCCTATCATCAGTGCAATCTGGGTCGGAATCCAGCATTTATCAAAAATTTAAAAAGCACTCATAATACAGCCGCGCCCGGCCTCACAAAGAGGAGCAGAATTGTAATCAGGAAACTGGGGGTCATTCCAGAAGGCTTGGGAGACTTTACTGAATAGAGGGGGCCGGTCGCATAAACTCCCGAGCCACGGATTGGAAATTAAACATTAAAAACAGCCCCCCTGCGCTACAAAGGTCGTCACTTTTGGGGATAAATTTGAAAAGGGCACATTATTTTTAAGGTCATTTTTTTTTCAATTAACGGTAGAGGGGCCGCTTCGAAACTCTTATTTTGCCCTCCATTCGGCATCAGCTCGTGCCAACTCGTTTGTGCTTGTATTTGAATTTTAATAATCATGGAAGGGGCGGCGAACCTGGGTCCAATTGGGGGACACGTCCCCTGGAAGTTTAGAAATATGGCTAGAAGGAAATATAGCAAATAGAACGTATACATATTGGCTTTGGCGTTTTCTAGAAAGCATAATTTCAGCATTAAAAATGGCAAAATCTCGCTCGGTCGCTACGCTCCCTCGCCCAATATCACAAAACTATGATACTCTTGCAACCCCTGTTCAGAATTGCCTAGTTTGTTTCAGTAAAAGCAAATACAAACGCCGATGAAAAAGATTTGGTTTAAGAACTAATAAATACGTCTGCTGCATGTCATCACAAATAGCTTTCAATCGAGCAAAACTGCGTGTGTGTTTTTTACTATACAGTATGAGTAAAACAAAAGTTTACACCTAGAAAATTGCTAATCATTTTAAAAATCATCAATGAACAGTAAATTATTATACATCTTATGGAAGAGTGTTTCATCCCAAATCATTTGGTATCATTTTTGTGTGGTATGTGTTCATGCTTGGATGAACAGGAGGCATTGTTTGCGAGAGTGCAAAAATCGACTTGCGCCAAACCGAATAAACAAAATCACGTGAAAATCACGTCAATATCAAGGTATCGACTTGAGGAGATTTACGTTCTTCAAACACCTGACATTTACGTAAATGTGTTCAGGCGCGTACGCAGGATTGTTTTAACATTTTTAAATCGGGCCGAAAATTTCGCAACGACTCAGCCAGCCGCTGAATAAGCGGGGGGGGGGGGGGGGGGGTAAGAGGACACATTTTAATTTTTTTTTGGTCTCGAAATTAGAAAATTTGACATTTTGCTCCGTTTGGGGGGGGGGGGGGGGGGTAAGGTCACCTTTTTTAATTAAAAAAAAAAAAAAAAAAAAAAAAAAAACCTAAAGGGGGGGGGGGGGGGTTAGGGGGGTTTATACACATAAAAATACCAAAGGGGGGGGGGGGGGTTATACGTTTATACGTTTATACGTTTATTGCACTAGGTCACTTAAAACACACGTACACTAAAATCACGCAATTGTCACTGGAATATCACCATTATAATAACGTGATTATCCCTACCTTGGAGACCATGGTTTGTAGACCTAATACTCCCGTTTTTGTTTGGTTATGAAATTACATCTTCATAAACGAGATTATCACATTCTTTAGAAGTTTTAGAATCGCGTCACAGAAACACGTGAAGCGTTAATGATAGTTTTAGTCAAAATATCTGCGTGAAATTCACGTGAATATTAAGAGGCTGACTTGAGATGAATCATGTTCTTCATTCTGACCGTTATTTATTGCCCAAAACCCCTGATCTTCCGGGGCTCCGCCCCCTGGACCCAACACCAAATTGTGGCCTGCCAGTGTCACAAATAAAGTATAAAAATATGCTCATCTGACCGTAATTTCTTGCACAAAACCCCTGGATTTCCGGGGTCTCCGCACCTTGGACACCACGCCAACTCGTGACCTGCTAGTGTCACAAATAAGGTATAAAATCATGCTCATCAGACGATAATTTAATGTATAAAACCCCTGAGCTTCTTGGGGCTCCGCCCCCTGGACCCTACACCAAATTGTGGACTGCCAGTGTCACAAATAAGGTATAAAAATATGCTCATCTGACCGTTATTTATTGCCCAAAACTCTTGAGCTTCTGGGGGCTCCGCCTCCTGGACCCCACACCAATTCGTGACCTGCCAGTGTCACAAATAAGGTACAAAATTATGCTCATCTGACGAAAGTGTATAAAACGCCTGAGCTTCTGAAGGCTCCGCCCTGGCGAAAAAAAACATGTAAAAACACGTTAATTTCTCCTTTTTTTGGAGAGAGGCCCCCCTGGCGTTCAAGGGGAGGGGGGGGGGGGTGCGATTTTTCAAATTGTCGAGGGCTAAAAAAAAAAAAATTAGTGCTCACTACCCCCCCCCCCCCCCCCCCCCCCCCCCCCCCCCCCCCACCCCCCACTGAGCGAAATATCGGCCGACACGATTTTTTGCAAACGCCATCATGAAGAATTACTTCTTACCACCCTCTTCTTCTAGATCACATCCACTCCTTCTAGCACTACTCTCAAAAGTGTGTGCACATAAACTATTGAAGAGTTAAAACCTGTACACACAGATTGCAGACCATAGATCAGCTTCTTTACCCTTCTTCGATCTACACGCAACGCTTTGTGAACCAAGATCACTACACCAGCCTACTAGAAGGCGTACTTAAACTGCAAATATTGATAACTGCAAACTGTTAATTTTTATATCATCCTGTAATAAGTGGAATCGAAATACAAAGCTTTGTCCACTTGACTTCAGGTCGACATCTTTGAGCCACCTAACCATCCTACTTCTCCTCAGCGGACAAGTTTAAACCAACCCTGGTCCATCGACTAGTGCTCCTGAGACATTTCCATGTGCCATCTGTTGGGATGAAGTGAGAGACAATGACCCTGCTCTCTTATGCGATCATTGAGACTGCTGGTGCCACATTTCATGTGTCGGTATCTCCCCAGACTCCAATGATATCTTGACGAATAAGTCCAGGAGCTTCGCTTGGGTTTGCTGCCAGTGTTCCTCTACCAACATAGGGTCAAGCAGCTTGCTGCAAGGACTTAACCTCACACAATCCAATCGTTTCTCATCCCTTCACCGCAACTCCAGTGATGAAGAAATCCTTCCCTCCATCAACCCTCTATGCCTACATCGAGCACTGGGGGATGTCGTCAACCACGATTTCACCCTCCTTCAAGAAATCGCAAAAAGGCATTTAAAGTGATGGTTGTAAACTGCAATGGTCTGAAGGGGAATGCTAAGGAATCAAGCTTTCATGCAGCTATTGCTCACCACACTTCTGATTTTGTTTTTGGTTGTGAATCAAAACTGGATGATAGCTTATCTTCATACTCAATTTTCCCAAGCAATTACTCCATCTACCGTAAGGACAGAAACATCCATGGAGGTGGTGTTTTCATAGCAATCATCGACACGCCAATTGTCACTGAATGTCCAGAGTTTGACTCAGACTGTGAGATACAGTGGTGCAACGTTCAACTTGCAAATGCCAATCCACTGTATATTGGTAGCTACTACTGCCCCCAACAACAGACGACAAGGTCTTGAAGGCTTGCATCAGTCATTGTCCAAGATTATGACAAGGCACCGACGCAGACACCCTAACATCTTGATAGCCGGCGACATTAACCATCCTGACATCAACTGGGATGACCAGTCGACTACAACTCCAGCCACTTCTACTTGTCACCAGAAGCTGTTGGATATCCTATTGCACAATTCCTTGTCCCAAACAGTCAGGGAAGTCACCCGACCTTTATCCAACAACATCCTTGACCTAGTTGCGACGTCAAATCCCGCCCTGGTTGAGAATGTGTGCGTACAGTCTGGGATATCCGACCACAACATCGTCACTTTTACTCTTGCTGCAAATCCAAAGATCTCTGTCAAGCCCCTG